GGAATTACAATATGTTTAGCAATTGTATGTACTGTTTTTTATTTTATTTGCTATTTTTTCCCCACTAAACTGGAGTTACCCATTAAGGTACTCTGAAAATAGCAAAGTAACAATTTGATAAAAAACCTTTTGTTGGTCATGGTACTCTGCACAAGATCAAAGATAGGAGTAGGGATTAGATCCTCATTTATTTGGGCTTTTTTTACATGCTTAAAGTGGAAGTATTCATAACTTAACTCCAGTGCTGCGGTGTCTTGGAGTGCTCCACCAGCCACTGTCATCTTCAGTCAAGCAGCTTCTGGGATCTCTGGCTGCTCGTTTTAATTGGCTGAGGTGAGGTGACATCAATTCTTAGATCCATCATCAATCATAACGAATGATTACCCGACGACAAAAACACCACAACACATACAGACAATCCTCTCCCACTGGACTCTCACCATAACTGAAATCATGATCATATGTGGTCAAAGACATCACTCCAGATAACTTACAAACAAAAGCCAGATGGGGCAGGGCTGCAAGTTTTTTTTTTTTTTAATGTCACTTTAGTACATCCTACATGTGTGTCACTTCGTGTGCAGGTTTAATACTTCTCCCAAGCATGTTATTTAAAGGAATTGTGTGTCTTTATTGTTGCCTTTTAGCAACTATAAAAAGACTCGCTCTCCATTGAATGGATTTTTTGTCTTTATTTTTTATTGGTACATGTCCCTAATTGCAGTGCCTAGATACCTGTGCCCTTTTGTAACCAAAAGCTTGCAAATTAGCCTTGAAAAAGCCAAAAGAAAAATTACAAAATTCAGCTCCAATAAGACTTTAGTGGGGTTCGAGCATTACATCTAGCGCTTGTAAATTTCAGGCTTGGTTTGTGAACCATTCTGTGAACTGGAGCCAGATCATTTAGCTAATCACTAGTCAGTACAAGTAAAGATAGGGGGGGCGTATTCCTTACTTGAGCTTTGTCTCAGAACATCCTTATCACAGGTAAAATGTTGAGCTGAAAATATTTAGTGAGATCAGAAATACTTTGAAAGAAAAGGTATTCAAAGAATCTGTACAGTAAGTGGTATTGGGCATATCAGCATCACAGTTATTAATTGAATTCTCATCCAGTGCATGCCCATCTAGTCTCTCTGAATGGTCGGTGAGCAGTTACAATCAAGAACCGGTATATTTGTAATAAAGTGAGTGTGAAATAAAGCAAATTATGAAATAAAGCAAATTAAATTATTTTGCCAGTGTGTGGACTTATTTGCCTTGCTTAGTTGTTGCATCTTTGGCCTTATCTGAATGCTTCAGTGGTCATTGGTGCAGGCCCACAGAGGCACCTTCTTGGCCTGAGTCTGGAGTTTCCTCACTGTTCTTTTAGGTCATGGCTGTCTTGTAAGTGACTCACTGGGGTCCCAAACTTGTGTAGGAGAGGACCAATGTGTATGCTACTGCTCCAGGTGGATCCACCACACAGTCCCTTTCACCTCCTCTGTATTCAGGTACAAGCACCACTCATCCAGTCATGTGGAACAAAACAATAGGACCCAAAGGGCTGCACACTTGAAAACTGCATCCACTTTATTTATAATCTTAAAAATGCCATATACAACAACAGTGGAGATTTTGGGAGCAAGGAAACACAGTCAACACTTTTCGTGCTGCTAGCACTTATTCGTGAATAACTGCTAGCAGCGTGAAAGGCATTGACTGTGTATCCTTGCTCCCATGGTGTCTACTGTTGCTGTAAATGGCATTTTAAAGATGATCAATAAAGTGTTCAGAAGCTTCTTAGGACTCATTTGACACCTTATAGCCTTACGACTTTCGAATGCATATGAAGGTCACGTCCACACTCCACGGGTATAATCTCCTTGATATACTGTTTGTCTACTCCAGGAAGTTCCCAATGTGCTCCTTTCAGCAACACTGGGAAAGCTAACAAGTGGTGGAGCTGGTACCAGAGGATTGGCAGATGATGCTCCAAGCTACTTTTAAGAGTTGAAGAAATGTAACCACTCTGAAAAATACTCACAAGGTTATATACTGCTGGTATTACACACCAGTTGAATGGCCGTATAGTTCCTCAACATCGAATTGTGTCTGCGGGTGTTCCCAGCCAGAGACAATGGCCCACATCAGGTGCTACTGCCCTATGGTGGCTAGGCTATGGATCCTGGTTTATGCACTATTACGAACATTACTTCATTTTGACATAAGAGGAAATCTTGTGACGCTCTCCTTTTTAAACCTATAGAGTCTTTATTCCGAGTGGAATGCAAACGCACCTTTTTATTGCAACTAAGCTCACTATACTGAAAGCCTGGAAAAACTCTTGCACTCAGGTTTGAGGCAGTGAAAGATTACATGAACCATGGTATGGTCAATAAGAGATTAACATCCATACTGTCTATTTCACATGACCAGTTTCTGTGTGTTTGGCAACCCTGGATATCCTATACTCACCCCTCTTGCTTTGACCATGAGTTATTGACATCATGATATTTCTGGGTGCACTGTCCTGCAAGACCACTAATCGACTTTTTTATTTTTTGTTACTCTAATTTTTCTTGGTTTTCCTTTTTATTCAGCACTTCTAGCCCCCCTCCTTTTTCACAAGCGGGGTCTTCTGTAGCCCCCTCTCTTGTATACTTCAGCTGACTGATTCTCCTCCAGTCCAGTGGCTGTAACTCAATGCTCCTCACAATTTTGGGGTTAGGCCTCTTCTAATCTCCTTTCCATTCTACTGACAATTATGTTATCTTTAAGAATATCTGAATATTACTTTAATACTCTGGATCAGTTTGACTATTCCAAGAATTTACTTGTAATTTCCCCTTATTCCACTGTATTTTGGTGCTGTACTTTCAGGCATGTTTTACACTTTGGATCATTGACTCTGTTAGTTGGCTCTGTATGACTGTGCTATTTGTCAATAAAGATCATCAATAAATACATGTAGTCTTCAAGTGTGCAGCCTTTTGGATCCTATTTGTTCCATATTGCGTAGGAAAGGATAGGGGTGTAGGCAGGCGGAAATATCAGATAAGTAGAGCCAGGGAAATGATAGCTAGAGGATCTATGTCAGGAGGTCTGTGAGATGTGTCTTCTCAAAAGTCTGACTTCTTATGCAAACGTACGTTTCCTTTCACAGTTATAACACTTGTTCTATTCTTTAAAGTATATCTAAAGCCAAACATTTTTCAGTTTTAGGATAGACTAAGGATTAGTTAAATCCTATCATTTTTTTTAAGATGAGTGAAAGCCAGTGCACCAGGTTCATATCCAGAAATGTACTGACGTTCCATGTCCCCCCTTACTCAAGGTAGGAGATAGAGGGCACCTTTGCATTTCTGAAAGGTTTTATGTTTGACATAGGACTTCTGAGAAATTCCAGATGTCACCCTGGTATTCAAGAGTTCACTCATCTTGGATTTATACAGTACCTAAGTTTGCTGTGCAGTCAGTGCTAAATTCAAAAGTAAGGGGTCAGTACAGTGCAAAATATTTTTTTTCTGGGGGGGGGGGGGGGGATCTAAATCTTGTTGAGAAATTTTCCCATCATTTCCTATACCTGCAGCACAACAGAAAGAGGAAATCTCCCCAAAGTGGAGGGAACTTTTCTTCTGTCACTAGAAGAGGTATCCCACTTATGAATATTTCCATTCTACTGCGCTCACATTACCACCAGCAATGTGGTCTGTAAAAACAGATCACTTACAGTAAAGTAAAGAGCAGAGCTGACTGTCAAGATTTTAAAAAAGCTATTGCTATTGCAACTGTCAGCTTGTGAACATCCTCTTAACAGTCTAACCATATTATTTACTAGTAAAAAAAAAAAAAAAAAGGGTAATAATTATTATTAGCCTTATAAATGTTATTTTCAACTCTGTTGGCTATCACGCTATTATATATTTATGAGGCATAGTTGTTATAGCTCAGCAAAAAAATACTTTTTTTTTTTGCCAAAAAGGACTATTTGGAAGGACCCTTGAAACAAAATGGGAAGCTGCAACAGAAACATGGATGTTAACACTTTGGGCTTCGTTCACACTTGACTGTTTTACCAACGCTTGCCAAACGCCCCTATAGCGTTTGGCAAGCGTTGGTCCGGCGTTTGTGGAGCGTTTTTTAACGCTCGGCAAACGCTCCGCAAACGCCGCATGCGCGGTTTAGCGGCGGTTGCTAGGTGTTTGCCAAGCATTAATAACACCCCACAAACGTCTATAATGCAGTTTGAGTGGTGTTACCACTCCGCAAACGCCCCGCAACCGCACCGCAAACGCCGGCCGCCGGGCGTTTACGGAGCGGCACCATAGACAAGAATAGGAGGCTTCAACGCCTCCGGACGACGCAACGCGACGCAAACGCTCCCGTTAGAACAGCACCATGTGCTGTAATGTGCAGAATTGGCAGAGGCGTTTGGGAAGCGGTAAAAACGCTTCCCAAACGCCTCTCTGCCGCCTTCACACAGCGCTAGTGTGAACTTAGCCTTTCTTGTCTTAATGGTGTTTAAGAAGTTGATTTAAACAAATTTACTACACAAGGAGGATCTATCCATGTTACAGTCTCGTTGCACTTGGCACTTAATGATCTACATCTGGATGCTTTGAACATCTCCAAGTATGGGAACTGCACACTTATATTTGGCTATTTAACAGGTAAAGCTGCCGGCTTTTGTAAGGCACTCATGTGAGCTAATACACCAAGAGCTGGGACTGCGAAGAAAACGATCCTACATATTTCTCACAGGGCTGGTTTGCTTTAACAGGATTTACCTAAAATTCCCATTCTAAGTGTCTCCAATTAATGACCTAATGAAAAGATAGCGGAAGGCTCAATGCAACATTACATGGCCAATAGTACAAGCCATTGACCATATTTGCACAAACACAGCATAAAATAAAAGTATTCCCAGTGCACTTACAGATGTGTAAAACAGGTTTCTTTACATGTGCTTCTTGGTACATTCCAAGATTAAGAGCCAGAAGAATAAGTGTAAGTCTTACCTTTATTATTGTATACATCTAGATAATTTGGTGCTGAAAATATTGTAATTAGGGAGGGGAAGCCTGTTGTTTGGCTTTTTCTATACATACGATACCTGTGAAAAGATACAAAGATATAATTATATTTTTAACATCTAAGGAATCTACTGGAGAAGATCCTCTCCTAAAAATGTATGAAATATTCTAACTTTAAAGAAAATATTTTACTCATTTATATGTTACATCTATATTCCAGGCATATAGATAAAAACACAACTGAAGTGTGTATATAAGAGCTGTTTTACCTTCTAAAGAATTTGTATTTCCAGGCATCTACAAAGACCTGCCAGATAATACAACCAGGCTGCTGACCTGACCTCTCTTCTGAAATAAATAAAACTTGGTCATCTCCTTGCCCTCAGCCTTTGATTGGCCAACGACTGAGCATATATATATATATATATATATATATATATATATATATATATATATATATATTGAATATACATTTATTTTACCCCAAAACATTACTCTACCTGTATAAATCAAGAGAATACAGCACATTGTGATGCCTGCAAGTACATGTCTATTTGAAGCCAGTTCACTGTATGAAGAGTCTCTGTTTGGGCTACTATAGACTTGATGGATTCCCACCCGATACCACTCTCTTCTTTGCAGTGGCTTCCCTCTACTCATCGACCTTCATCCCTTAGTCCGACGCTGACGCTAACGCTCCGTCTTTGGGATTCTATTAAATATTTCGCTGGTCTCATCTCTGCTCACCTACCATTACTACATTTGCTACATAACCCATTATTCCCCCTGGGTCGTGATAATCCTGGACAGTTTGCTTGGTGGCAAGCACATGGCTTCCATGATCTACATTCGATGCTATCTCCCACTCGAATACTCACCTTTGAAACTCTGCGCTCCTCTCATGATATCCCACTGTGGGAACATTATGGCTATCTTCAAATCCGCCACTTTATCAATACATTAATACAGACGCACTCGGGACCCTACTGGTTGTCCCCCTTGAAAATCATTGTAGACATAGACCCCATGCTCCGGGCTTAATTTCTCTGGTCTATTCTTCTATTACTTCTTCTAGAACTCCCCCGGTCCGTTCTTATCATCAGCGTTGGCAGTCGGAACTCGGGGGCACTCTGGATCAACAGGATTGGTGGACCATGACCCAAGCGTTATCTAAATGCTCTAGGAATGTTATCATACTAGAAAATGCTTATAAGGTTCTTTATAGATGGTATTACACACCTGCTCGTCTGGCTCGTTTTATCCCTACATATTCCCCGACTTGTTTTCGGGGCTGTCAACAAATGGGTACTATTGTCCATATTTGGTGGACTTGTCCTAAGGTTTGCAGATTGTGGATCAGAGTTTATGCCCTTCTCTGTACTATGTTTCACAGAGACATTAAGCGCAACCCGTATGAAGAGCTTTTATTTAAACCATTAGTGGGCCTACTTCGTCCCGAACGGCAGCTGGCATCACACCTGTTTATGGCTACCAAGCTGACGATCGCAAGGGCTAGGAAGACTCCCCTCCTCAGCTTCAAAGCTGTCAAAAGCCGGATGAACTTCATAATGGTCAATGAAAAACTGACGGCTATACTGTTAGACTCCCACACAAAATTCCTGCAGACATGGTGTCCCTGGCTTGATATAGCCCAACCATCGAGATTCAACCAGTCCCTTTTGTCGATATAAAATTTACATATCAGTTTATTTTTTTCTTTTTTTTTTCTCTGCTGCGATCCCCCTGGAGCCCTTTTTGTTTTCGTCTCCTTCCTCTTCGTTCCTCTCTTTCCTTTTGTCTAGTCTGTTTTCATGCTATGTGTACTGATTGTGATTATTGCTTTGAGTGCCGCACCAGCAATACTATATCCTTATGCTGGACTCCATCGGGAGCCCTGTGTGTGGAATGCCCATTTTTATTCAGAGAGGTTCCATCTCATATCATCTCCGCTTTCTATATGTTGATAAAGTGACAATTTTTCTTTAGAGTTTATATTCTCATTGGTCTATAAACGTTTCCCATTTTTGCAACTTATTGTTTTCTCCCCCCTTTTTTTTTTTCCCCTCATTCTGTACTCGGTACTTAAGTATGCTGTTTATTTCTATGTCTCTCCATCAGTACGTATTCTGTAATATTCATAGAATACCTTGTATGTTTTATTCCTGTTGGTCAATGTATCTGTTTTTGACTGATTCACTGCTCCTATCTATTCTATAAAAAATTCTTTGTAAAAGAAGAGTCTCTGCTTATGTCAGAGATCTCTGAGCCCCATACTTCCACCATTCCACTGTCAATTCACTGCTGGCCACAGAGGCTTCAGCATTTTACAACTGAATGGCTGGGAGTGAGGCTTAGGGTCTCCTTTGCAATAGAGTAGATATTGCTATCTGTTTTCTTGTAAACTCTACAGTGAAAGTCATGTGGTGTGAATTCTACAATGCCCCACAATGCTCTCCCTGTTTAATGCAGCAAAGAGAGATCCATGGTTGGAGGAACCCCAACTCTGACAAGTCACATGACCAGACTCTCCTCCTAGGCTTTTTTTCCCACCAAACTTTGTATAAGTTCCTAACCAGTTTGGGATTCACAGTGCCAAGAGCATGCAATACACAGTTGTTTCTAATTACCATACCACAAGCATTGTTACCAACAATTAAGACATTTGTGAAAAACAATTATCTAAACAATATAGAATGATCAGAGTTGACGTAATCAAAGATAAATGTCTCAAAATTAAAGTTCCTGATTTTCTAAATGGCCTTTTGTGATGTTATGGACAAAAGGAAAATAGACTAATGTAGAGGAGCCAATGGTGTAGTGTGTCAAAATAAGGATAATTTTATTAAAACAAGATAAGTTAAAATGCAATCACATGGGGGGCTGGAGAGAGGGACACAAATCAGAGCAGCTTTGCAAGTAGTCAAAGTCCTCTGTGTAAAGCTCAACTCTGGCCAGGGGGAGTGTTGACAGCCTCTGATGGCAGGAGGAGCCACTGTGAACACAAGGGAAGCTGATGCTGCCAACCAAGGTTCCTCCCATAGGAGTGTTTTCACACTGGTAGCTAGTGTTGTGCAAGGATGCGCTTCTGGGAATTCCTTCCTTTCATCAGCCTCTGGATGGCTGATGAAGGTATGTTAAAGCAAGAATATTTAATAAATTTATCCTTGCTCTGAAATACTACACAATAAGCTCCTCTGCACAGCTCTCTTTTGCCTTTACATATACCTGGAGTGCTCTGCCTTACCTAGCTGCAACAGACTAGTGCCTTGGACTACTTCGGTCATTACTGATTATATTTGACTATGTTTTGACAGCACCTATATTTGATTATGATTTGACAACACTTTTACTATCTTATTATTTTTATTATCCAATTTTTTCCCCTGATTATATAATTTCTGTGTTAAAGGTTTGATTGATCAAACTATGTCTGCTTAGTGTTTTAGGCCTTCTGATTTCTACACAGGTCAGATCACATTAAGCTGCTTCGCAAACCGCGCACACTAATTATCTTCTTGGTCTGTATCATATCTTTATTTTGGCATGTGTAAGAGTCTTTCTTTGAATTCAGTTAATGGGCATATCATCTGCTCTAGATAGTTAGAGCTGGGTTAATCGCATAAAGTGTGTGTTTTTTTTTCTTTTTATGATTCTATAGTCTTTATTTCTATTTTTTTAAGTAGTGCAATTTGGTTGTTTAATCTGTTCAAATGGAATAAATTTAGGAGCCTTAGTATATTACTGATCAGAGACAGAAGGTAAAAGAAACAAGCTGTAGCCAAATATGGTGGCAAGTTTCTAGAAGAAAAAAAAAAAAAATCTTACCCAGCATCTTGGGCTTCATGAGCTCGAAGTATAGATAACAAGTTATTGTGCTGAAGGAATTCACAGACAGCTGGATAGCTTTTAAAAGAAAACAAATACAGTTATTAGGATGCAGCATTCTAAATGCCATCTTAATTAACATCACCCGTTTTGTTATTTAGAAAAATGTGAAATCAATCCAACAATTATGTGATTTCATTGAAACCAAGAAAGTGATTTTTGCTAAACACATTATATGCTGGTTTGTCTCTTGCAGTATTATCACCATTAATCACCATCATCCCTAAGAATAACCAATTAAATCCAAGACAAGATTCAAACATTTTTATTCCATCTGTCCACCTGATGAGCCACCCGGACTGTGAAATTTCCACATACAAGGTTCTATTTTTTTAAGCAGAGAATGTGACTTTCACAAAGATTCACTTGTGGAATCAGTAACTTTCATTTAATACTCTTGGACCTGGATGGTTTTCCACCAGAGAATGTTTGTGAATGTCAACAGATAATAAATAAATATCACATACTGATTAAGAATCAGTTAATAAAATGTGGCCATTTATCAATGTTTCCAAACAATATTTCGAGGTGAAATATGTTTCTGCACCCGCAACCATCCGCAGCCCAAATCCAAAAACCTCTGGGTGACGGATGCTTTGAAGATCCAGGATTTGGATATTTATTTTTCACTTTTCATACTGGTGGATGAAATGTTGCACTTTGATTGCATGAAGTCTTCTAATGCTGCACTACAAGATCCCTCTTTTTATCTTGTTGCTGTGTGAGAAGTGTTTGTGGCTGTGTATGAAGTGTTTGTGGCTGCAGTGTACTTGGGGCACAGAGAGATCCATCCATCCTGTGAACTGTGATACATGCATTGTCTGCCTCTATTTGAGAGGCTGCAGCTATGCGCCTGCAAAGCACTAAACCCCCGATCAGCAGATCACGGGTGCTATGCAGTGCTCTTGCAGACAGTCTGTGTAAGCTGTCTGCTCGCACCTTGTACAGTCAGGCAGTTACACAATGACAGGAAGACTCAATGAACTACCTACAGCGCTCAACAGCACCCTGGTAGTCCATTGAGAACTGAAAGCCGACAGCTGCAAAGGCCATCGGTACTTGTAGTTTTCACATTGACAGGACTCCTAAATTGCTTTAGGAGTTTTTTCCTAAATTGTGACAGAGAGCGTGGGAAGAAGATCCCCTGTTTGCTGTCGAAAAGGGGGGAGCAAGGAGATGCAGGGGCAGCTGTATTATGTCTCATTGTTTTTTACTTTTCATACTGGTGAAGGATATGTTGCACTTTGATTGATTTTAGAATGAAGTCTTCTAATGCTGCACTATGAGAGCCCTCTTTTTATCTTGTCCTGCATGCTTGTGATGATACTGAGTGGCAATTAACCAACAAGGCAAGGAGATAACAGATGAGCTGCTGTGTGGGATGTGTTTGTGGATCAGACTGCAAGGACCTGGAGTGCAAAGCAGTGGAAGAATGACTGAGGTGTACCATCTATGTCCATGCAAAATTAGATCATAATGTTCTTGCAAGGGATCCAGAATCCTAGAAAGGGCTAGAATCCTGAATATTGATACTGACAGCTTGTAGGCCAAGGAAATCTACATAAACATAAGCATTATAAGATGATGCCATCAATCAGGCATAGCAGGCAGGGCTGTCAGGGCTAAGCCTGCTTTGTTTACACGGTATTCCCAAAGCCACAAGGAACAGGGGAGTGCAAGCAGGAAGAGTAACGAACATAAGACTAAGCAAGACAGTGAAGTTATAAACACTGGAACCCAGTTGCCAGAACAACCAAAACACAAAGATCAAGGTGACAGAAGCAATAATTGTCTGAAGCATGAAGTTCACCATCATCACTGGTGACAGCAGTGCCAGCATGGAGAAGATTTAATTGGAAAATAAAGACAATACCGGGGTTTGTCTAGAAGGACCAAAAGTCTAGGACAAGGTCCAACATGAGAGTGTGTCTGGGATGGGGGCAGAGATTTATGCCAAATAGGATGGTTCTGTACAGGTTGGTAACCCATCTGGGAGTAACAGTTCAACCAGTACCTAAGGGACTGCTGGAGGGTGAAGAAATGGCAAAAGCACACATACAGTAGATTCACTGGATGGGGGAGGTAACCCTCTCGGTCTGCCAAGGGCCACTCAAATCAGGAAAATCCAAGCCGAGGGGGATCGCAGGGGGGGTTGAAGAGAGTGGAAGGTGTTCCCAGTCCTAGCAGATGAACTCATTAAATGTGCTTGCAGATATGCTGCAGGAAGGTTTGGGGCAGTGCAGTGGTATTCCCTGTACATCTTGCCGTGGTAACCAAACAGTCCTTCAAATGAAGGGTGTCCCGAAAGATGAGATAGGCTATGGTTTGACTAAGCGTCATGATGAGGTCATCTTGGGGAGAACAACTTTCAACCTTATATGGTCATACCACAAAGAGGCCTGTTGCTGTAGCCAAAGCCATTGGGCTATCAACATCTACAGAAGTGGGGGATAGGTGCGCAGGCCACAAAACTGACAACTGTAGAAGCTGGTTAAGTTTTTGCATGAAATCCTCCATGACAGAAGAAGTAGCCTCTGTTGTGACATAGATGGCAACAGGCACCTCAGGAAGATCCTCAACCAAGGCAAGCATCTTAAATATCAAAGAACAGAAGTTCAGAGTGAACAGGGGACACTCAGAGCTACAGTAAAATTGCACACAGCTAGCCAAGTCTTTAGAGGTGCAGGGCTTAGTTTAGGCAAACATCTTTAGGAGCACCTCAACCCCATTTAAGTCTACAATTACACCTCTGCAAAGTTTAGGGGGCATTAGAACTCATATGAGCCACACCCAAGGGGTACTTATAAATGCAGAGTAGGTGTTGGTACAGGCACAAGAACTCAGATGGAGGCAGAAGCATTCTAGCTGTGGTATGAGTATTACTGTTGACAGCGAGATGAGGTCCAGAAGGACAGCTGCATCATCAATCTAAGGGAGGCCTCATGCTTCGAAGAGCAGAAAGGAAGTATCATTTATAATCTAGAAAGGCAGGAAAAAGAGAAAAAGCACACATGTGAATGTGTCCCTTTTGAAGAAAAGTAACATCAGCTGTGATAGGGAGAGTCTTTTGAATGTAGAAAAATCTCAGTGAAGATTGGAAACAGCAGAGCTGAAGTTAACACATCCAAACTCTTTGCCAAACTGGGCAGAATGGTTAGAGAAGAGGTTATAGCCCTTAGGGGCTGGCTTTCATTGTTTTGTGCCTAGTGTCCAACAGGTGGCACTTAAGCCCTCAGTACATAAATGTAAAATGCCATGTCCTTCAAAGGACGATAAAGAAATTAAGGTTAAAATTAAATAATCTACAGCAAGGATCAGTTAAAATGTATATCTTCCTTCCATCTTTTCTCTATCCCCAAGTGTACCTAAAAGAAATCTGTTTTCCTTTGTATAGCAGGCACTTTCAGGTGCTTCCATGCTGGAAGGCTTTTCCTGTATAGCATTTAAAGATCTCCAGATACTGGGAAAAATACAAATAGCACTCAGTTTCTGACAGCTCCTGCCTCCCACACTCTATCACTGGCACAGGTCTGTGGTAAGCAGCCTCACTAATACTAAAATTCTATGGGCACAGTAAACAGAAGTGAGCAGACACAGCTGCTGTCCAAAAAAACTCTAGCTGCATATCAGAGTGCCCCTGTGGGATCCCAGAGTGCTCCAAATATAAATCAGTCCAGTGCTCAGGAAATGTGCTTGCTATCCAGCATTAACCAGAGTTTCCTTTTTATAATCACTATTACACTTTAGACTTTCAAACAAAGTCAAGACCAATAAATTAGAATTTCACTGGTGGGAGGCAATGGAATCCTGCTGCAGGTGTGCTTGGGAATTTCTTTCCTGCATCTATAGCAGGGATTTCCAAACTGTCATAATAACATATAAAGGAGGTAACGTAGATTAGTAGAATGTAGAATTGCTTGAAAGACAGATTGAAACAATGAGTCGGGTAGGCAATTTCAAATGTGTACATCTCAAGATTTAACTTTCAAGTTTTGCTAGAGTGCATTTTGTAGATGTTTATTTACCAATTGAATTTGAGCATGCTATGTATCTAATTTAGATAAAACTCTGCTTAGAAGAGTTCTTTAAAGTTCATTCCGTTCAAGTTGACATCTCTTGTATAATAAGTAGATCAAAGTGTTGGGAGAGAGCTTACAGAAAAATATATAAAAGCTTTCACATGAAAGCATGTATTAAAGCTTTCTAAATTAAAGCTTCAAATGCAAATTGAAATAGAATTCTAAACACAACTGTTTACAATGGACCTTTTTACTTCATCATTGCCAAGTTCGCTAAATTCTTATCATGTAGTGTTAGAACAGCAGGTAACTTGGATAGCACAGAACTGAGCTACACACACCGTTTTTATTGGCTCTATTGTAGCAGAATAATATCTAGAAAACAGTCAAACTGATACTTATGTAACCTTACAAACAACAGATTTTTTAAGTGCTTGGTAGACAAACTGATCTCCTTCAACCACGCTGCAATTTTATTTATTTGGGAAAAAGTCATTAGAATAATTGCCTCCCTAGACGTGAATAGAACAGGTGATTACTTCCTCTCTCATGACTGGGAATCTGGTTCTTTCTTTTTTCTTTCTTTGCATATCTATACCCAAGAACAAAAAACATAATATATTGCATCTAACCAGTCCCTGGATGTGGTGGCTGCATTATTTTTTTAGGTTTCCTTTCCCTCAGTTCTCACTTGGTGATCCGGCTAGTTTCATACTTTTGGTCCTAGGGTTACTACGCCCACTTTTAAACGACACTTGCAAAATCATCTGCCTATTTTGTAGCTCTTAGTAATGCCGAGAGAGCAGAGGTCAGGAGTAAGTAGCACAGAGATAGTAGGTCAGTTTGTGATAATTTCAGAGAATGCAGAGGTCAGGTTAGGAGGCCGCAGGTAAATAGGTAAAGCTACAGTATATTTAAAAATATATTAGACCTTGTCCTTAGGCTTGGTGTTGGCTCACTGGTTGCACCTGGTTTCCTCCACATAAAAGTCTGGTATCT